TATCCACACCGGGCAAGCTTGAAAAATATGCCCGGCCACGGTGGGATTCGAACCTACGACCTTTGGAATATACTAGCCCAATGCTCTTCCTCGAACCGTCCTGACCGCGTAGCTCAGTTGGAAGAGCATTGGGCTAGTATTCCAAAGGTCGTAGGTTCGAATCCCACCGTGGCCGGGCATATTTTTCAAGCTCGCCCGGTGTGGATATGCACTCAGAGTAACATCGCAAACATATTATTCACCTAAGTACACAACACCAACACAGAAAAAAAAAGTAGTTGGATGCTTAAAATTAATTTTATTAATAGAGCTAGCAAAGAAAGCAAGATTATGCTTTTCGTGTTGAATCGTGGACATGCCAAGAACGATTGTCGATTGAAGAAGAAGAGCAAAAAGAGTGTTTCGTGTCCTTTCTTTCATCATCCTCTTTTACATTCCAACCCACCCAGTCCACCTACAGCCAGCAACCAGGAGTCGCCTCAGTTTTAGACAGAACGAGTATGATGCCCGTAATTGGAGGCCCTAACGGAAGAGTTCGTGAAGTGTTGATCGACAGTGGCACCGGAACGACAGTTACACGAAAGCAGTTCTCGAAAGACCTCGGATTGAATGGAAAAAAGAACGGATTGTTTAGCAGTGGTTGGAAGAGAGAGGTTAGAGCAACCACACAGCAGAAGAGTGGACGTTTGGATCTCTGCAGTCCATGCATGGTGTGCAAGAATTCAAGATCGAAGCCAAGAAATCGACAAAACTATTCTAAATATCCCTGATTTGGACAGGAAAAGGGCTACAGTTTTTTCTGAAGTAAAATCGATTCTTAACAGCCGCTCCTTGCCCTATGTGCCAGATGATCCAAGTGACCTACGACCCCTGACGCCCAACCATCTGTTATTAGGCCGAGCTTCAGAAAATATTCTACATGGTTTGTATGAAAATACCAAGAATTCCCGCAGGCGGTTTCAGTATGTACAAACAATTGTGAACAATTTCTGGAAAAGATTTATCGAAGAATACATTCCTAAGTTAATATAGCAATTGGAAGATCAAAATGGCAGAAAAAGGAAAATGGCGAGAAGGATGATATTGCTTTCATCGTGGAAAACAATGTACCACGAGGAAAGTGGAATCTCGGTCAAGTCCTTGACATCTTTCCAGGAAAGGACAGTATAATGAGGAACGTGTTTTTGAAGACAGAGAATGGAGAACTGAAGAGATCGATACAAAAATGCTTATACTTCTGGAAGCAAAGTGAGGTCAATATTCTTACGAAATATTGTACTGTATATAGAGATAATATCGAAATATTCACTAGCTGTCACTCAGCTGCCGGAAGAGGTCGCTTGCATCCAGCCTAATTTGCCCACGCCAGAAGGGTTAGAGATTATATAGGGAAAGTATGGATTGACCCTCTTGCCATCTTCAAGGCAGTGACAGGCAATGTTTTACTTGGCTAGGCGGAAGATGACGTTTGCCAGTATGTCCTATCCTATTATGCTACTATCCAGGCTAAGCGTAAGGTTCCCATTGCCAAAATCCTGGCTATGGAAGCCACGAAATTCACCATATACAGTAAACACTCTATCAGTGTGAGTCAAGCATGATGTAGTGTTCTGCATAGCCTAGATCATACAAACAGGTCCCCAATAGATCCTGAAACTATAATTGGGACATTTTAGTCCATAAATTTGTGCATTAACCTGTACACAAATGAATATTTTACATATATTATGTGATAATGCAATCCCGTATTTAGCCCCCAGTAACTTCAGAAATAAACCTCCCTTCTGAAAATTAGCTTTCCCTTTCCAAAAATAAGTTTTCTCTGTTATGGGCTATCAATATGGGCCATGCTAGCCCAGCAAACATGGTTGGATTTCTTTTCAGGGCTAGTTTGTCATTTGCCTCACAGGAGTCAGGCTAACCTGGCAAGTTCTGGTAAGAAATTTGTGTAATGTGCTGGTTAATTTGTTAATGGCAACAGCTTCAGAAGGCTTATATTAATTAATATCTTACTCGCTTAGGCCAAATTGTGTATTATAATCTAGTGAGCTGGTTCACCAGCTGATGACCTTTAGTGTAAGACTCCCAATGCAGAATAACAACTGGCTCAAGCAGAAGCTGTGCCAGTCAATTCGATCAGCCTGGTTCATGTGAATGCAATCTCAAAAATATATAAGCATTAATATAAGCATTAATATAAAATTAATATATAAGCACTGTCACCACGGGCAGATATATATTTAGCCCATATAAATGGGCAAGGCCAGCTTGCCCGGTGTGATATCATACTACAGTACTATTATTATAATCTTTATTACGGTCAATTAAAAAATATTCAATCAAACTATTAATAGAAAAAAGAACCTAAATGGGCAAGGTATAAATGGGACTCGAAAAACCATGCAAGATACCTTCCCAAACTTTACTAAAACTATTTTATTGCAGCCAAGCGCCAGCACACCATTCTTGATGCTTGCTCAGGATTCTCCAGAGTTCACTCGACCCAGTCTTTCGCGCAGATATATGTGAACTCGAATCAAAATCTTGTGTTCGTCTGTCTTTCGGATTGTCGTAATCCCGGAGAACAGTACATTCGAAGACTTGCGGGGCTTTTTACAATATCTGGGTGAAAAGGAATTAACAAAAATGTCAACAAATAGATTTTGTTTCCCAGCGGCATAGCCAGCTTGGATAATTGGGGGAGGGGGGCAATATTCATATATTCGTGTTCACAGACCTTAGTAATAATCGATTATAAAAGAAATTAATAATGCGGAATACAAATATATGTGAATATGGCTACGCCTCTGTGCCCCAATTATCGAGATGGCTACGCCTCTGTGCTCATTTGAGCACATGTTCGTTTCAGTTTACGTACGCCTAACATTTTGTTGGGCTTGGAGATGACAGAATTGATTTGAAGTTCCCATGAAAGTCTGGAGCAAGTGATGACGCCAAGATCCTTTTCACTGTCAACTCGAGTCAGACGAGTTCGTGGACGAGGACGAGTTCGATTTCCCGTTCGTGGAAGACCAACAAGTGAGGGTATATCAAAAAGATTATCGTTGACAAGTTCAACGACACTTGAAAAACCGTCCTTTGGACGGAATGGAAAGAAAGCCTGGGAATACGGGGGCTTTTGCATAGCGACTTTTTTAACTTAACACTAGTATGAATTACCTGTAAAATGCACATTAAATAATTTCCAAAACGATATGCTTTCTTTTATTCATTCAGTTATTTCATAAGTAACATTTAAAAAGATTTAAACTTTTCAGTGCGTATGAAAAACGCGTGACTGGAGAGCAGCCTTAATAACGACATATCTTGCAAATGTATAACTGCTGAAGTTAATGTATCAAATTTGATTCGAAAAATACAGTTTTTATAAATTGTGTGTTATTATTATATGCATTCCTTATTCGGAAAAACTTTTATTCTAGCTATATTTGCTGAAATTACCAGCCGGAAAAGAACAATGAGGGTCCTATGGTTATGTCCATCAAATTTGATATCTGAATAGAATCTTGATATTTGTCCCAAAGTCATCCATCTTCCTTAAGTTAGCCTCCAAGACCAACGAATATGTTGCCATTCAAGGGTTAAAAACAATGAAGACAAGTTTTATTAATTGTCAGACAAACGACAATAGTCAATATTCATGTTAATTGCAATTCTACAGGCTGCAACACAATGTAATTGACACATCGACCAAATCTCTGACCAAATCGACGGAAAACAAGCCAAAAAACAGTAATTGACCTAATCAATCAAATAAATACTTGGCATAAGTTTGAAGGTCCGTAGTCCAAATATTTTATGAGTTTCTTTAGCCCACTTATACCACCAAAATTTTAAGATAAAATTTATAGGCACGATATGCATGATGGCATTCCTGGAAAACGGGTTTAGATTCAATAATATATGTAAACTAGATCCACATATATAGTATTTCTATTTTCTATTAATTGTGTGAATGTTGACTTTTATTATTGAAATATCCTAATGAGATCACTGTGTTTAAATAAAGATTTACTCTACAATATCGGTTCTACATTTCAACCTCCTTAATAATCACTCACCTTGATTCTCGACTAAAATTTCCCGACACGAGAGTACTATATACGCGAAGCTTCTTCTGTTGTGGATACCGGTATTGGCGAGTTTCATTGCGTCGCCATTTAAAACCTGTCATGGAACTCGAAAAACTAGTCAGGAAAATTACTGGCATGTATTTGGTATGCAAATTGATTTCTATATGTTTTCAGACGACGATTTAAGATTTAGCGAGGTTCCCGCACTCTTTCTGCCATTTTCTCCGCCCCCAATGTGGCAATGTTAATTCACTTGTGACCTCTTGCGGTTAACCAATTGCAAACAACTAACCTTTAATATGTTTTGGCAAGGTGTTTAATAAAAAGGCAAAGGCAGTAGAAAAGTCACTAAAGCCCACATCGCGCATAGCTTCGAGAGATTCTGTAAATACTATATATTATAAGCTTTCTAATGCTTGTGTGATGTTACTCTGAGTGTATATGCACACCGAGCAGGCTTGAAAAATATGCCTGGCCACGGTGGGAATCGAACCTACGACCTTTGGAATACTAGCCCAACGCTCTGCCAACTGGGACTATGTAATAAACAGAACATTACCCGGTGACTTGAAGATATGACTTTTATCTTCTTGTGTTAAAAATTCACTACGTGTTAAATGTTTCCACCACTCGAAGATAAAAGTCATATCTTCGCGCCGCCGTGTAATATCCTCTATATATACTGTATATAGTATAGTATTTCTCATAATCCTTCAATAAGAATACTATTGAAATCCTAATAAAATAACCTTTTCAACGGGGGGTCGAATGCCGTCAAGGTAATTGCTAGATAGTATACTTCAAAATAAGGTTTCCGTTTTTATCACGTAGAAAAAACTATCCTAAGGCTAAACTAAACCCTAACCCTAATACTAACCTTAATCCTAACCCCAACCCTAACCTAACCCTATACCTAACCTAACCCTAACTTATTTAAAAAATTGATATAAAAACGGAAACCTTATTTTGAAGTATACTATCTAGCAATTTCC